TGAAAAAAAAGTAAAAATTTCAAGGGAAAATTAAAATTTTTCCTTTTGGGAATTTGACGGTTTGGGGGGAAAAATTTCCCCTTTTGCCAAAAAAAGGGGTTTGTTTCCCGGTTGGGGAAAGCGGCGGTGGCCATTAAAAAAGGGGCCTGGGGGAAATTTTTTTAAAAACAAATTATTTAAAAACAAAAAAAGTTTTTTTGTTTTTGTTTTCCATTTGGTTTCCCCGGGCAAATTGGGTTTAGCTTTTTGGGGAATTTAATCCCCAAACCCGGGGTTTTTTGGGGTTTTTTGGGGTTAAAAAGTTCCCCCCGGGTTCCCAAAGGCGTTTTTTAAAGGACCCAAGAAAACAGGGGCCAAAAAAAAAAATTTTGTATAAAACCCCTTTTTCGCTGGGAAAATTGACTGGTCTTTGGGCAATTTCAGTGCCAACAACGGGGGTTTTGGCGGTTGGGGAAAGTCGGCGGTGGCCATAAGGGGTCTGTGGGACCTATAGAACACATTGACTGAAAGAAAAAGTCAATGTTTGCTATGGAACCCATTGCGTCGCTGGGCAAATTGACTGGTCGTTTGGCAATTTCTGTGCCCAACAACGGGGGTTTTTGGCGATTGGGGAAAGTCGGCCGGTGGCCATGAGGAGTCTGTGTGGGGATCATAGAACACATTGACTGAAAGAAAAAGTCAATGTTTGCTATGGAACCCATTTGCCGCTGGGAAAATTGACTGGTCGTTGGGCAATTTCAGTGCCCACAACGGGGGGTTTTGGCGGTTGGGGAAAGTCGGCGGTGGCCATGAGGGGTCTGTTTGGGGACCATAGAAACACATTGACTGAAAGAAAAAGTCAATGTTTGCTATGGAACCCATTGGTCGCTGGGCAAAACTGACGTGGTCGTTGGGTAATTTCAGTGCCCAACAACGTTTTTTGCGGTTGGGGAAAGTCGGCGGTGGCCATGAGGGGTCTGTGGGGACCATAGAACACATTGACTGAAAGAAAAAGTCAATGTTTTGCTATGGAACCCATTGGTCGCTGGGCAAATTGACTGTCGTTGGGCAATTTCAGTGCCCAACAACGGGAGGTTTTGGCGGTTTAGCGAAAGTCTGCGGTGGCCATGAGGGCTCTGTGGGGACCATAGAACACATTGACTGAAAGAAAAAGTCAATGTTTTGCTATGGAACCCATTGGTCGCTGGGCAAATTGACTGGTCGTTGGGCAATTTCAGTGCCCACACAACGGGTTGTTTTGGCGTTGGGGAAAGTCGGCGGTGGCCATGAGGGGTCTGTGGGGACCATAGAACAATTGACTGAAAAAAAAAGTCAATGTTTGCTATGGAACCCATTGGTCGCTGGCAAATTGACTGGTCGTTGGGCAATTTCAGTGCCCAAACAACGGGGGGTTTGGCGGTTGGGGAAAGCGGCGGTGGCCATGAGGGGTCTGTGGGGACCATAGAACACATTGACTGAAAGAAAAAGTCAATGTTTGCTATGGAACCCATTGGTCGCTGGGCAAATTGTCTGGTCGTTTGGCAATTTCAGTGCCAAACAACGGGGGTTTTTGGCAGTTTGGGAAAGTCGGCGGTGGCCATGAGGAGTCTGTGGGGACCATAGAACACATTGACTGAAAGAAAAAGTCAATGTTTGCTATGGAACCCATTGGCCGCTGGGAAAATTGACTGGTCGTTGGGCAATTTCAGTGCGCAACAACGGGGGTTTTTGGCAGTTGGGGAAAGTCAGCGGTGGCCATGAGGGGTCTGTGGGGACCATAGAACACATTGACTGAAAGAAAAAGTCAATGTTTGCTATGGAACCCATTGGTCGCTGGGCAAATTGACTGGTCGTTGGGCAATTTCAGAACCCAACAACGTTTTGGCGGTTGGGGAAAGTCGGCGGTGGCCATGAGGGGTCTGTTGGGACCATAGAACACATTGATTGAAAGAAAAAGTCAATGTTTGCTATGGAACCCATTGGTCGCTGGGCAAATTGACTGGTCGTTGGGCAATTTCAGTGCCCAACAACGGGGGGTTTTGTGGTTGGGGAAAAGTCGGCGGTGGCCATGAGGGTCTGTGTGGACCCTTGAACACATTGACTGAAAGAAAAAGTCAATGTTTGCTATGGAACCCATTGGTCGCTGGGCAAATTGACTGGTCATTGGGCAATTTCAGTGCCAAACAACGGGGGTTTTGGCGGTTGGGGAAAGTCGGCGGTGGCCATGAGGGGTCTGTGGGGACCATAGATTACATTGACTGAAAGAAAAAGTCAATGTTTGCTATGGAACCCATTGGTCGCTGGGCAAATTGACTAGTCGTTGGGCAATTTCAGTGCCCAACAACGGGGCTTTTGGCGGTTTGGGAAAGTCGGCGGTGGCCATGAGGGGTCTGTGGGGACCATAAAACACATTGACTGAAAGAAAAAGTCGATGTTTGCTATGGAACCCATTGGTCGCTGGGCAAATTAACTGGTCGTTGGGCGATTTCAGTGCCCAACAACGGGGGGTTTTGGCGTTTGGGAAAGTCGGCGGTGGCCATGAGGGGTCTGTGGGGACCATAGAACACATTGATTGAAAGAAAAAGTCAATGTTTGCTATGGAACCCATTGGTCGCTGGGCAAATTGACTGGTCGTTGGGCAATTTCAGTGCCCAACAACGGGGGGTTTTGGCGGTTGGGGAAAGTCGGCGGTGGCCATGAGGGGTCTGTGGGGACCATAGAACACATTGATTGAAAGAAAAAGTCAATGTTTGCTATGGAACCCATTGGTCGCTGGGCAAATTGACTGGTCGTTGGGCAATTTCAGTGCCCAACAACGGGGGGTTTTGGCGGTTGGGGAAAGTCGGCGGTGGCCATGAGGGGTCTGTGGGGACCATAGAACACATTGATTGAAAGAAAAAGTCAATGTTTGCTATGGAACCCATTGGTCGCTGGGCAAATTGACTGGTCGTTGGGCAATTTCAGTGCCCAACAACGGGGGGTTTTGGCGGTTGGGGAAAGTCGGCGGTGGCCATGAGGGGTCTGTGGGGACCATAGAACACATTGATTGAAAGAAAAAGTCAATGTTTGCTATGGAACCCATTGGTCGCTGGGCAAATTGACTGGTCGTTGGGCAATTTCAGTGCCCAACAACGGGGGGTTTTGGCGGTTGGGGAAAGTCGGCGGTAGCCATGAGGGGTCTGTGGGGACCATAGAACACATTGACTGAAAGAAAAAGTCAATGTTTGCTATGGAACCCATTGAATTATTGGCTCTCCTCCAGTAAACTCATGGTCCGTACTCTTATATGTATGTGATGATATTCAATCAAATTCCGGTCAATAATGCATGCATATCTTGATCTTTGATATCTCGGTTCAAAAGTAACCTCGCTATTAGAAAATAGAGTGTCAAACTACCTGGTGCATATTCATCCTGGGCTTTTGTCAAAGGCGTTCCTAAATTAAAGATTAACACCAGCAAATTTATATGATCTCATTCCGTTATTTCAGAATAAGAAATATACACTGAGATAAACGCGGTAAAAGAAATCATGCTTTAAAGACCCGTAACAAGCGATAAGAAACAGACGATTTATTATTCTAGTAGGGAGATCCTGAAAGTATTCTTTTAGAAATTAGAAATTTTGCAAGTCTTATTTTGTTTAAATTACATTTAAACAATACTTATTAACAAATGTTAAATTAAAAAATTTATTTGCTCTAATTTAATGTATTACTTTTGACTCACAGGTATGATAATTTGAAAGTCTCTATTTTTTATGCTTGGTTCTTTAACGTATTGTCATAATATGAAACCTGAATTCAATAAAGAGTTTATCATTATTATCATTATTATTATTTTTTTTTTATATATATAAAATCAATCTTTGAAATCCAAAATTTTCTTTTAAACTTTTTCTTAAAATTAAATGCAGACTCGTTCATTTGGGAATAAAACTTGACTGCCTTCATTGAAACAGGTTTCTGACATAATCCATGGTTTCTTGAAAGTTAATAGTGATCTAAATGGATAAGACAAGGTCATTTGATAGGTCTAAGAAACTGTATATTATGCTGAAAGAACTAATTATTATCATTATTTTAATGTCTTTTCAAGTTGGTTTTACATATTTTTTGATCTATCGCGAAAGTGATCGAACGTAATATTGGCGATGGCTTAAATTTTATAGTTTAAACAAAGCTTGAGTGAATGTTATACATAAGACTTTCATGTCGTTACAAAATCGCCAAAAACTTAACATAAAAAATACCTTAAAACTTATCGTAATTTTTGAACGATATTTAAAGGAGGTCCAAAAGTAAAACGATAACATAAATTTAAGTATGATATTTTCCCACAAATAGCTTTAGAACTTAAAAAGGCAAATTAGGCAATATATAATAAAGATATATGCTCAGAATTAAAGTGATCAACATCATTATCTTCGTGCGATTTTTTTAATATTTAACGCTCTTCAATCCTTAGGTTATTTTGCAAAATGTAATTCATTATTTTTGAATTATAATGGAAAACAAATTATCTGAATTTTTTCACACGAATGCAAGGTCTAGATCATAAAAACGTACTTTCAGTCTCTTCATGTCAAAAAACATAAGTGGAATCCCGTTTCGTTTAAATTGGTATAAATATTATTACTTGTAAAAATTTTGACATGTTATATGGCCCTATATAAACGGTTGATTTATGTATACCTGAGCAGCAAGGCCATGGTTATATTGCAAAAGGCCATAAAACATGTGAAATATTTTGGTCAAAGTTAGAAAATATCACTTTCTTTATTTGAAAAAAAAGATAAAATTGCCTCATAAATATACGGCAGCCGTGTATATAGTTTATATAAACGTCATGATTAACCAATTAAATGCAAAGTTATAGATGTACAATATTAAAAGTAAAGTATATATGGAAGAGTTAATTTAATTGTTTGCTATTCATACTTTTATAACCAATAATATTAGATACTTAAGATATTGATAACAGATATGTTGGTTATTTAGGACGAATATTATTTGTTTCTTAGCATGTATACAAGATAACAATATCAAAGTCACTTAGTTTATTCCCTCATGTCATCAGAAATAAAATAAAGTAACATAATTGCTAAATATATGCTATCGATACCATACAATGAATAGAACGGAAGACTCTTATAGTGTTTATTTATTTCAGTCATTTTACTTCTATAAAAATGCAATTTATCACTCCATATTTTAATCGATTGCCATCTTTTAGTATATTTTGTAATCAGGGCATGGGACTTGAAACATGTATTGTTATTGAACAAAATATGAAATATATTTACAATTTTAGAAACAGTAAAGTTAAGAAATTATATAGATTCTACTTTGTTTATTCAACTGTTTACATAATAATTTATATACATTTATTGTCATAAGCTATAAAACAATATGAATATAGAGAAAGATACATACATGTATGTAAAAATTACAAAGAGAAATACATTTTATTAAACTAAGAATATAAGTAAGAATATAAGTACAACCGGTATTTAGTAGGTATGAATATCACTGAAGGAGATAATGGAAACAACCTCTTTATAATTATATACATAATAAATACATAACAATACATAAAATTATAACACATGCATAAACATATTTGTAAGTTATATACAAGTTAGGTAACTAAGTTAACAGATAAGTTAATCATGAAACAAATAGTATTTAATTCCTGGAGAACATTGAAATGCGTTAGAATACACTGCTTTCTTTGTACGCCGACCTCTTACAAACACTGATCGACTGATAGTTTTACTTTTAATGAGATGACATAAACTGTACCTTTACACACTTTATCTTCATTTTTATTGCTAACGATTGACTCAAAAACAAATGCACGCCTAAATTCCCTACATTTACTTTGTTTTGACAAAACAATTTTAAATTTCTGTTGATTGAGCGGGAAACCTTTGTGTGTGACCATATCCCATTGCTGTATTTGTTCTTGACGACACATACGTAGTTTTAGAGTATTTGTTGGGATGTTGGTAATGATTGTCCGGTCCCTGATAGGATTGATGGTCACGATAGTTTACTTGATATTGCTCTCTCTTTTGGTTTGAGAAATTTCTGTCGGTGTATGTGCCTGTTTGGGTGTTGAATCCACCTTGTCTTGTATCAGTCGGAAAAGGACGATCAGATACTTCATTGTGTCTTGTCGGAGTCGGATTATCACATCTTCCTTGAGCAACACCTTTAGAAAGAAGAGGGCCGTTCTTATGAAGCAACATTGCTGGCCATACCATGAAGTCAACAAATTCTCCACGTGCTGTATAATCTTTGAATACGTTAGTATTAAATCTGTTTGTACATTTTGTATTAAGTTCCAGTGGAGGATCTTGCACAGCGCACAACCATGCAATCTCTACGCATGCTGTAACATATTCTTGCACATCTTTTGATCGATGATTGGCTAGCTCCAGTCTTGGTCTCACAACCTAAAATAATTTATAATTATATCAATATGTTTAACATCTAATAGAGATGTAGGTTTAGTTTATATTATTTATTTATTTTTTTTTTATTTTATTTTTTTTTTTTGTTAATCATTAAAAATGTGTATTTACTCAAATAGAAAAAATCTGGAAACAAAGTGATCCCTCGGAAGCATTAATCACGACAAAACTACAAGAGAATTGCAGACTCGGTTTGATTGAGTCTGTACATGAGGGATAATAAATACGTGCCACACCTCACGCCCAAAGCACCGGCTTGAGCGGTACTCAATTCTCAACACTTAACAGTGCTGACATCAATGGTCCCGATGGACAAGAAGAATGTCACAACATAAAGACCTGTTTATTGAATGTTTGAGAATTTGAAATTGCAAATAAGATTAATTTAAACAAAATGTTTTATTAATTTCAATAATGCACAGAGTATTGCATTTATATGTTTCAATTACCGTTTTAAATTCTGACATAATCAATTAAAGAATAATCATTCAATACTGATATTCAAATAAAATCATTTTTATTTCAAGTAAGACGAAACAGAGAGAGAATACTTATGAATTCATTATACCTTTTCAACATCACGTATAACAAATGGGGCACGGTTCTTTCGGAACTCTCTTATTTCTTGTTTTAACTGGTCTGATAAGACAACTTTGTAATTCGAAATTTCAGGCGCCTAAAACAAAAATATAAGATTCTTAATAATAATTGATATGCTACCAAAATAAGTACATCAATTACATACATACAATACATATATTTCATTATGAGTCAAGTAAATTATTATTCGAAGTAATATATATTCGCCAGGACAACTTATCATAAATGGTAACCAAATAACATTCATATCCTGAGAAACAAATAATCATGCTAATATTTAAGAAAGTTCTAGAGGGACAGAACCGGTTTTGGTATTTCTTTACGGGCTGAAGAAACTGGCATTAAAGGAATATCGAAATAGGTTCTCCGAATTTAATAAAATTGATACCTCTTTCGGTAGTTCAATAGCTCTTTGGACTCTTTCGAAGAAATTTCCATTCGAATTCTGACAAATATTATATGCCACCTGCAAAACGAAAGATTAAATATATGATATTTATGATAATTCATACATTAATTGCGTTGATAGATAACTATTTTATATATAATTTTCAAAAGGCAACATGTAATATGGGTAAAAAATATGTTAGATATTTCACTTACTTAGCATATAATATAATATTATATTTTGTTTACCATTAAAGTGTTTAATAATTTTTGAATCACTTGTTTCTCTTCCATTTGCTGTTCTAAAATGTCAAACGCATCTGTCCATTGGTTGTCATACAGCTCGGACAATTTCTCAGCTACTTTTGTAGGTCTGTTCTGGTCACTGAGATCCGTTATGTTTGGATTATTATCACGTAATTTAGATGACGCAACTTTACTTAACCTGTTCAAAACAAAAGCAACAAGTAAAATTGCACCTCATAGCGTAAATCAGTCTGCTTCTTGTAATATCTTATGTACAAAAAATAAACATTATTTAAAGAACAACACACCATCACATTATAAGACGTACAATTTTTACGATGCTTTTATTCTTAAACGTGTGTTTAAGACAAAATTGTCAGACATTATATAATTTGTAATACATTATATTTTAAACAAACATAAAATGAGCCGTGTCATGACAAAACCAACATAATGGGTTTGCGACCAGCATGGATCCAGACCAGCCTGCGCATCCGCGCAGTCTGATCAGGACCCATACTGTTCGCTTACAAACCCTATAACAAGTAGAGAAACTGATAGCCATCAGCATAGATCCTGATCAGACTGCGCGGATGCGCAGGCTGATCTGGATCCATGCTGGTCGCAAACCCATTAAGTTGGTTTTGTCATGACACGGCTCAAATGTTAAATCAAACATTGATATAGATTGGTAATCAATTAATGTTATATCTTTAGCTGCACCAATAGTTTATATATCTTGTTTTTTGCTATTTATTTTCCTTATTTGTTTTATGTGATTTTTTAAGAGGAGGTACGCTCAAATTTAAAACTAGATTTTAATTTTTTATTACATTTCTCAAACTATATCCGCAATTATATCAATTTTTTTCTAAGCATTTAAAATGTAACTAGACTATTCTACTTTGTGAAAATACTTTCCGATTAGGAAAATTACACCTCTAATTGCAGGGCAAAATGACAATTTTCAAACATTTTCAATTATTTCAATCACATAACATAAATCACCTTTGTAAGGCATCATCTTTTAAACGTACTTCTTCATGGAATCTCCGTTCCAGTTTGTCATATCGTCTTTGAATATCGTCCAGCGATTCAGTGATTTGCATTATGCTAAAATACATGTGAGTTTTAGTTAAGCAATACGTAATTGTAAACAATAAACAAAAATGATTTCAAGTTCTTATTTATCTCATATATTATAATAATGGTATTATTTGAATAGGTGTACGGTCGAAAATGCTAAATGCTTCTTTTTTCTGGCATATTTAAAGTTGTAAATTTTATGTTTTATCAATAACAATTTACATCATTAATACCAAACAAGCACATTTTTATTCAGATATGGCATCTTACTTTTGCTCCGAGCTCCGCTCGATTCTGAAAAGCAAACAAGAAAGCAATGTAGTGTCGATGATTTTAAAATTACTTGGTAATGTGTTGTGCCTTTTATAATTTCCATAGTAAATCTTGAATACATTTATATAAAACTTTTTTCTTTCATTTTATTTTTAATGGTGTTGGGGTGAATGTTAAAAAGGAATCTGACTTTCAAATTTATTTCTTTAGCTTTTCATAGAAATGTCTCTCAACTAAACCTCACCTCTTTAATTTCAATTCAAGGTCTTGAATTTTCGTTTCTTTTGTAAGACATCGAAAACATTCCGTAGCTTCGACGCTCGTGAAGGTATCAGATAGACCTTGTCGGTTCTTCTTTTTCGGGACATTTAATGATGCTGATCTTTCGTACTGCTTTCTGCTGTTAAAGCCTGTATCATCATTGTCTTCATTTACAATCTGAATTTAGTGGAAATATTTTGATACGTTCATTTGGTATTTGTAATTAGTTCGAAATTATTGTTTCGACGTATCATGGTTCAAACTTCGTATGTATTTGAAAGGAACCCAACTGAGCTCCAAAAGCCTAAAACATAAAAGTTGAATGTCTTATATAGATCAGCTGGGGTGCTTAAAATAGAATTATATGCCAATAATAAGTGAGAAATATACTTCGAAATCAATTGAAAATCGAATTTGTGTGCTATTCTTTGCGCGATTTGAGTGAAACGATTTGCAACTTTTTTAGGCCATTTTTCACAATAAGTATAATTATTCTGGAAAAAACGGAGTAAGAGCATGTTTTTTAAATTGTGCACACAAACTATTGGTATTGACGTACATGGCAAACCCTCAGTGAAATCCCTTTAGGTATTAATGTTCTAAACGTTAATGCCATACGATAAACTATCACAGGCACTTACATGAACAGGTTTCAAGATTTATACAAAGAGAAGCATTTTTTAAATGCTACATTTTTAAATGCTACATTTACAGGCAGTTGAGGAAATTGTTTGTTTTCCTTTTTGTATAGAAAACAGATCATGTATCGTTTGCAGTGTTAAATTTTGTGGCTAAACTAAAATTGACACAAGCAATAATAATATTATAATATATATAATGTTTAATACATACATAACTGATCTTCTCCAGTTCTTCTCTTATTTCACGCAGTCCTTCATCAAAATTTTCAATGCATTTTGGAAGTTCTTTGCTGCCTTTACTCTTATCTCTCTTTCTGTGGATGTTTTTTTGCTCCTTTGAGAGATTTTTCGAGGCTTCATATATAGTTTTAGCACGTATACGTACGTAATCTACATCAATATTGTATTTTTTCTGAAAGGCGACGCTAAAAAGATAAATGATATTCAGTGGTGTTAAATAGTAACATTGTACATTTTAAGCATTGACCTTTTAAATAAATCCTTAAAACTAAGATGACAAACATTACATATTTTCAAAATAAATTATATAATTCTTGCTGCTAATAAAAACGTAAAAGAAACTTTCTTTGTACTCTCTGACTTGGATGATGATTTGCTTTACCTAGAGGTTCAATTAATTTAGAATGTGAAACTCCGCGAACCGGTTAACTGCCGTGATCATTACCGTGACGTAACCGGTTGCGAATATATGGACGCGTCATCATGCGTTTTGTTTAGGGATGCACAAAAGTAATACGTTGACTTGCAGACGACAAAAGAAAGTTCATATCTAACAAAACGCACAGCTACATATATTGGTCAGAGACTTTGATATGTTTAAGTGATACTATGCTCACTTTTTTGATGTCAAGATGAGTTGAATTAGTATATATTTCAAAAGATTGGCTATTATAATGGTGATTGGTCAATAATTGATAATGAAAAATGTTAATGATACAATATAAAAACTACCTAAATAAAAAGGCTGGTCCATTGTTTTTAAGAATTAAGCGTTTCTGATACATTCTGAACGATATTTATAGAAATTTCCGTTGTTCTGGTGAATTACTAAAGATGTTTTAAAGTAAAATCTTGAACTTAAAATATCGTGTTATCTGTTGTCCCAGGTAAAACATAAAATTAAACTCAACTGTGGCAAAATGTCAAGTTATTTTAATTTTTACTTAGAATTTAGACTTGAATTGGTATAATTTAATTTTTAAATCAAACTAAATATAATTAGTTGTCTATCACTAAAATATTTTATTTCTACAACAAAGGTCGAAAGTTCGAAATACAAACTTAATGTTGTGTCATGTGCTCGATATTCGTGTTTTGTTATTTGTTACGAATATCGTTTTAATGTATTATTTTGTCCTTGTATTTGTATATTTATCTTGTGTATTTGTCTGTTATCTATGTTCTTCTACAGTCCGATATACATTCCATTATCCCATATCATTCCTATATCATTCAATTTCATCAGCTTTTCATTATAACAACTAATTACTTATATTTCATTTCGACATATTTTTTTACAAACTTCCCGGAAAAAACCACCTCACGCATGCGCACTTTGATATAAATATTTCAAAGGTGTTTGTGTTATTTATTTAGTTATCAAGGCGTATGTTTTTATGTCCTTTACAGACGTAAACAACCATTCCATTCATGTAAAAGGACCTAACGACAGTTCCCCAGAGAGAAATTTTGATACGTTTAATCTTGTTAAACGGGTGTTTTACTTTAACGATACTTGCTACGAAATTTGAGTTTTTAATTTGAATTACGTTTTTTTCCTATAGAACCATCAATAAGATAAATTATTATAAATGTGTACATTATTTTATTTCAATGCATTCACTGTAGATATGGCAAAAGACAAAACAAACTGGTATTCAGGGATATTCAATTTTATTCTGATTGCCCATCGAAACTAAAGTTACTTTCGGTATTGATAAAATATCTCCTTTCTCTGACATAAACGTTCTTATAAGTATGATTGTGCTTTATTATCAGATATAAACTATATAAGGATTGTGACTAATGACATAAAAGATTAAAGCGGTCATAGAACCTTCATGCTTATCTGAAGCGACTATAAACTAAGATCATAATCCCCAGATTGGTGATGTATCTTAAAAAAGAATATGATTGATAAATATTACACTCCATGTTTCATTCATTCATTCATTCATTCATTCATTCATTCATTCATTTATTTATTGATTTAATTATTCACTAATTCTTTTCATCCAATATACAAAAAGTAGGAAGTAGACACTTCACATTTGCAGAAAATGTACACAACGCATTTAAATCTTCTCAACTAGAAAGAAGAGAACGTATATAATATATTCATTTTCTTTATCTTTAGAGGTAACATAAATTAAGTTTCGCCAGGTACAAATACAACCTTTATCAATAGAAATCAGATATGAAACGTTGGTAAATGGGTATATTTAAACTTTAAAATAAATTAAGTTACTTTTAAACTTTCTCCACTCAAATTTATGCCTGTTTAAGACTGTATTCCTTTTGACTGAAAATTATTCTGAAATTGTTGAAGAATAGATCAATTTGATATATCTAAATAATAACCTCTAACGTTTTTCTGCAATCAATAATCTAATTCATTTCTACTTTCGTTTTTAAAACAGTGTCAAACTACTTGTATTATAATTTATAAAGAGCACTTGAATGCTTTAAAGGAAAAATCGATTTTAATTAATTAAGTAACATACCTGCTAGATGCCTGAACATCTCTTCTATAGCTATTATGCGACATAATGTCCTATTTTAAATTTAAACAGTGGAATAAATGTTTCCCAACCAGGAAGGTTTAATATAAGTAAGGGAAACAACTACATTGATAGCTACACAGGTAGTAAATCACCTTGTACCTTGAATATTTGATACGATGGTATAAGAAGTAAACTATATGAATTATCGTTATAAAGGTATCGTTTATTGAAATTTAAGACGTAAAACCAGGGTACAGCAAAACAAACATAATGTATTTCCATGTGTGCTAAAATAAATTATACCACTGCATAAGTAAGCAGAGGTCAGGTGTGCATGTTGGCTGATTTGTACCATTCGTATTTTTGCCTCGCAACAGGGCCTCATAAACAATGGCGGCAGGCGGAGAAAAACACGCTTATAAGAGGGGCGCGGGGCGGGATTTAAGAAACACAATGCTGGGCAAAGTGTCATGAATAAAACATCGCCCCGCCCCCCGCTAATTAGCACGTGTTCGCCCCGCGACCCGGCAAAGCGAGAAGTCCAGAATCAACAAGTTTAAATGTCGGGGCAGAGCGTAAACGCTTACTAGCCCCCGCTGTTTTATTTCTTATTTATATATTAAAATTCACCCTGTGCTAACGAGATTAGCGTGTTTCGTTTCTCCGTGCCCCCCCCCCCCCCCCCCATTTTAATTTGTTAATTCTCGACTTTTTACTTTTCGGGGTTGTGGGGCGAAAACACGTATGACACAAATCAGCCATAATAATATTCAGATTCTCGTTATTGTTTATTTTTTCTGGGGTTTTATATTGTTAAGATAGGGAATGTGTTTTGATCGGGGTTTTTTTGCCTATGATCCAAAAAAAAGAAAGAGCATCAAAACACGGCAATGTCATTTTGTCATAAATACTCGGAGGCTACGTGTCAGATAATCTCATGTTTCGATGCTCTTTTTATAGCTTGTTTCGATCTGTATATAATGGACATACCTCAGATAGCATTAGTGTGACGAATGATGGTAACGATAATTCTGTATTTGTTACAAGTGTTTCTCAGGTCTGTCACAATTGGTGATGTTCTTTTCACTTAAATTTACAGAAAAGGATCATTAGATGTTAAACTATTTCTTATATTTGTCTGATTATCAAATCTTCCTTGTTTGTGCAACACCTATGAGAGAAGAGGGTTGCGATCATTAAGAAATATTGCTGGTCACTCAATAACGCACAATAATGCAATCTCCATGCAAACGGTAACATACTCAGATTGATACTTAGGTAGCTACAGTTCTGGTTTGATAATCTGCGCAATTATATGGACAAGCTCTAATAAACGTACAATTTTAAATTCTAATTCATTCTTAATTATTATACTTTCTATAAAGTTAAAGGCACATATTATTCAATTAATTGGCATGATTGTTTAAAGGTCATTTGTAAAAGGTAAACTATAGTAAAGCTATAAACTGATTTGTGGATACACTTGAGTTTTCATTGAGTCCAGCACTTTTAAGTGTTGAGAATTTAGTATCGCTCAAGCCGGTGCTAGAGGGCGTGGGAGATGTTGCACTTTATCATTATCCCTCAGGTACAGACTCAATCAAACCGAGTCTGCAATTTTCATGTAAATTTGCTGTTTTAAATGCTTCCGAGGGATTATATTTTTATCCAGATATTTAATGATTTTTATCCAGGAAAATGGCGAACTCAAGAAAGGTTTAATTTGTTCGACAGAAACTTCTGACTAACACTAAAAGGAAGAAAAGTCCTTTTTTCAGTTGCGAACAGTTATATTTATCATTGTAAAGTTGCCGTTAAGTTGGTTTGGTTAATAGTTAAAAATTAAGATATAGCACCGACGTTATTCGGGGATTTGTTTTACAGAAATAATCAGCCCCGCATTTATAGCATAGATACTTTTAGTTTCACTTTATTAAAATGTAATATAATGATTTTGGTCGGATGGTATCTAAATGAGTTTGATTTCAATACTTTGTACACATATTTACTCAAGTATAAAACTTTGAAGTACTTTAAAGTAGAGAAATATGGAATCCATAAAGAACAGCAAACTTGAAATGCTTCCGGTTTGATTTCATTGGTCATGGACGGCAGTAGTAGTGTATTTACCGTTCAAGTCCCCTAGCACCGGCTTAAGCAGATTTTAACAGTTATGCATGGAAATGGTGAAATTTTTGAATTAAGAAACATCCGCAAATGTGTTAATATGGCAGTAATTATGGGACATTTATTGTGATAATTCGTGCCGTTCCATAAAAAGGCGTATAGTCCCGAAACGAGAGAATAATTGGCGGAACTAAACAAAATGGATTATTTGCAAAAACAGAGGTTATAACAGATCAAACGTCAAAATACAAATTTAAAAACATATCTAAAGGGTGATTTAACAGTATTCGATTAGGAATATTGGCACCACGCATCAATTGAAAGGCATATTTAGAAGGATCGAAAAACACTTATATTTAAATCTTAAAAACCGCTAAACACGAAATATGCTCGGTTTTAATAAATCAAATTAGTTCATGGGCGGCAATGGTAAATGCAAAATTCCTATCACGTTCCCTAACACCGGCTGAAGAAGAACTCATACATATTTTAATACATGTACCTGACAAGATATCGCTCACCTGAAAGATACAACTGTGATGGTAAAAGTCTAAAAAAGTCCTCCGTAAACACTGAAGCCACAATATAAATTGCAAACACAATTTAATTGAGTCTGTTAAATAAATGAGAGATCATGTTAAGTTCAACATTTCTCATGCCGACAATCACCGGTTTAACCTGGCGGTATTCAATCATCAATACTACCATGCTGAAATGAGCCCGAAAAAGCAACTGAAAAATATAACAACACTTACGTTTTCGTTTTACATTCGCTATTCAACACATAACACTATATTTAATTCTACAGATTATAATTATGATAAGAGTCATGAGATCAACCTAAGTCAAAACTGTAAACGTATTTGTACCATTCGCTGTTCTTATAAATCATGCAAAAATGCAAACTATGTTTTACAAGGTGTTATAATTATTTTCTTCATTACGTGATGTTATACTATAATTTGTAACATGAATGTTATTATAATATTTAATCGGCAATTGTTTACTCTTTTGTCGGATTGTTGTGAACCGAAATTCATTTATTAATCAATTCGTTATTTTTTATTCATTCGCTTGTTCGTTCTTTCTTTCTTTTGTTCAATCTATCGTACGTCAACACAAATAACAAGTAATAAACATGGAATATCAACATCTAATTAAAACAAACTGACGATCTATAAAATTATCGATATCGATGGTGTTGAACACATCCTTGAGCAACCCCTTTCACTAACAGAGGACCTCCTTCATGAAGAAAAAGGGCTGGCCAGACAACGTAATCGATATTAGGTCCCCGCTTTGTGTATTCCCTGAATATTTTAGAATCGATCTTTGAAGATGAGGTCGCAGACAATACCAGAGGCGGGTCCTGTACCACCATTAACCACGTGATCTCCACACAGCTTGAGATATATCTATCGACTCCTGCATTCATTTTGGAATGTGTGTTAAGTTTTCCTTTTATTGCCTGTTTCGTAGAAAAATGAAAATGCATTGGTGGTAACATGAATGGTTTGAAATATTTTAAATTATATAAAGAAATGCAATGTCTATAATTGTTATGGTAACTATGATTATATATAGAGTTTCAGATAAATCAATATGATGTGAAGTATCAAGACGTAGCAGTTAAAAACAGATCAAACAAAACAGAATATGATCAGTAGGTGTACACAGACCCAAATAAATTTTCATTATTCTGTTACAATATAAAACTAAAACTTAATACATTAAACTAAGCTTCTGTTAAACAAACCTTTTCGATATCCTTGACTACATACATCGCACGAAATTTTCTGAATTCCTTAATTTGTTGTTTCAAACTATCAGGAAGGACTGATCTCGATTTCAACTGCTCAGACCCTGCGAACTTAAATGTTTAGTGTTTAAGCAAATTTCGTTCGCTTGGAAGGAACACTGTTATGAAATAATATTGCGAATTTCTCACTTAAATAGTTAACAATATCATGTGCCGCCACCGCATGCATTTATTCCGCGAGAGCAGGATCCCAAGCAGAACCATCGACCTTTCATATGCAAGCTTGATAGCTTCCTCATATACAATGATTAAAATATATCTGGTGGAGTTATCTGCAGCCATAAAGGAAAGGCAAGTGGTGTCACCCAATTAGAAATAACGTTTACTACTTTCATCAATTTAAACTTGCTATGTGCCAATCCGGCCTACCATGTACTAAAAGAAGAGGCACCGTAAGTACCATTATGTTTTGTACCTCTAGTCAAAGGATTTCTTTTTATTTTGCATTAATATATACATTTTCTCCATTCAGCAGTTTTAATCTAATAATTTATATGAAATGGATCTTTAATATTTTTGTAATGCACAATGTAAAAATATACCTGTAGAGGAAATTCGATACATCTTTGAACTTTCTCAAAGTAGTTATCAGAGGATATTGCTTTACATTCAGCGTAGGATTTCTGTTGAAAAAATATATATAAGAGACATGACTTCTTTCAAATAACATTTTCTAAATCTATACTGTATACACTTACTATAATTTAATATTTTTATTATTAGATGCCGAAAATGAAATATCTCGGAAACGTAAATTAAGTGAACGATAACTGAGGTTGGCAAGATTAAAGAAAATATTTTGCCAAATGCTAGCATCGTTAACACTGTTTAAATTATCTATAAATTTATGTTAAATAACAGTATGTTCAATCAAGGATAAATTTTATAAGATATTTACTTCTATTAAAAAGAACATTCGATACTTAACCATTAAGATGTCCCTCAGAAAGTTGATTATATCTCTTTCGTTCATGCCTTTTTCCAGATTACCGAAAGCGTCTGTCCATTGGTTGTCATATAACTCTGACAACTTTTCGGCTATTTTTGTAGGTCTGTTTGCATCACTAAGGTCAGCGATGTTTGGATTGTTATTCCGTAATTTGCTCGAAGCGATGGCACTCAATCTTCCATAACATAAGATAATAAAGGTATGAGTTTATGACTATATCATAAGACTATAACAGTTTTGAATCCAATGAAAATAAGGAACAAAGGGTTTAGCCCACTTTAAAAAAAACACCAATAAATCGACTAGAAACTTACACGTTTTATCAAAAAATAGTTATAACTTGAACTTCAATGAATTGACATAAGACGCATCATGTTTTCAAAAATAAACGGGTTATTTTTAGGTTTTTATATCCTTTCGGCGGCTTCCACCTTTTCAAGCATTTTCATAGAGACCCCCTACCTCAAAAAGTGTCGCCTCTCAGTCCGTATAGGCAGTTACTGGCGATGTTTCAACCCTATGACGTTCTGATTTAGTGGTGTGTGACATAAAAGCGCGCGTCAGAGCACGCAGTTTCAGGACGTGACGACATGCGCAGGCTGTTATGGTGATGTATGCGCAGCTAACTTTAAAAAAACGTAAGTATAAACGCAGTGCAGCTGTCTCCTACATGGTTAACTTTGTGTTTGTTCCCCACCTTGACCATTTATCTGTTCGAAAAATATAACATTTTGGCAGGAAAAGTCACGTGACACACACCTGGTGAGAAACATGTGTTGGCGGTAGAATTCAAATTTCCAATTTTGTCAAATTCGCACGCAAACACGTCTTTAAATGGAAATAGCGGTGTTCGAAATTCGTCCTTGACCTTGATCACGTGACATCCTGTATTATGCCATGCATATGTTTCAATGTTGGAGCCTAATCCAAATTTGAGGAATTAATATGGAATCTACGGAAGCCCAAAAGTGCCACCTTCGCGAATACGTTTTATTACGTTACAGCTGCTGAAAGGATATACAGAAATCCCAAAATGTCTATTTTAGTGGTATTCTATGCCGGAAAAGCGATTTTTCGTATCAAATAAGGATTAAAACTGCTGAAAATCATTTTTATATAATAAAAATGACTTTTCTCCCATATCCTTTCGGCGGCTTCCACCTTTTCAAGCATTTTCATAGAGACCCCCTACCTCAAAGTGTCGCCTCTCAGTCCGTATAGGCAGTTACTGGCGATGTTTCAACCCTATGACATTCTGATTTATTGGTGTGTGACATAAAAGCGCGCGTCAGAGCACGCGATTTCAGGACGTGACGACATGCGCAGGCTGTTATGGTGATGTATGCGCGGCTAACTTAAAAAAAAAATACAAAAAAAAAAACGGAAGTATAAACGCAGTGCAGCTGTCTCCTACATGGTTAACTTTGTGTTTGTTCCCCACCTTGACCCTTGACCATTTATCTGTTCGAAAAATATAACATTTTGGCAAGAAAAGTCACGTGACACGCACCTGGTGAGAAACATGTGTTGGCGGTAGAATTCAAATTTCCAATTTTGTCAAATTCGCACGCAAACACGTCTTTAAATGGAAATAGCGGTGTTCGAAATTCGTCCTTGACCTTGATCACGTGACATCCTGTATTATGCCATGCAAATGTTTCAATGTTGGAGCCTAATCCAAATTTGAGGAATTAATATGGAATCTACGGAAGACCAAAAGTGCCACCTTCGCGAATACGTTTTATTACGTTACAGCTGCTGAAAGGATATGTACATTTTTACAATGAATACCTTCGTAAGGCGTCATCCTTAGCATTCTTTTCTATTAGATATTTATTTTTCATCTCTTCATAATCTTCAATAGACACGCACGATTCCTTTAAACTAAAATATAAAATTAAGTTTAATCGAAATTCTAAAGTCTGTAGTGATCAAAAATTAAAATTAAACAATGGTAATCCTCATAAAATATAAGCTGATTCAGTCTTATTCTCACACATGGAAGACTTACAAAGGGTCAGTGGTTCCTATATTTTAAGCTCAAATGCCAAATCATGATGTTAAAGCTAATAACAGTAAAGTTGACCGGTAAAGTAGAGTGACTGGAGTGGCAACAAATTAGCTAAATCACAAGTCGAAATATACAAATATGTCATGCATATCATTCCCGTTCTAACATGGTTTTAGTTGAACAGTATCCATAAAGTAGCAAAGAATATAGCTATTATAGCTAACATCGCAAAGTTAGGCACAAGCTGTTAACGCCTTGAACATAAAAATTTTGAAAGTTTGGAAGTGACCTTTATTAATACCTTTTTCCTTTTTCAATATATCACCACTGAAATAAGTATAAATCGTTTCTACGTTTAAACAAAGGTACCTGTTCTACAAATGATGTATATATTTGTTTAAATTATCAGTTATAAAATTGGTGACACCAACCGTTTTATTTCCGAATGCAAATAATGTATTTCTAAATCTTTTTCATACATTGAGCCTCCAATGGCACTGCTGCCGTCTTCGAGTTTTCTTTTCTTAGTGGGAGGAGGTCCACTGTCGTTATTTGTGATATATTGAAATCATCGAAAACCATGGATCATGTTCCCCATGATGTGATTTTTCTTTAACTTTGCTATGCTGTTTAACACAGGGATGAATAGATGTCAAGCAACAGATTAAATAGTAGTACATACAGTTATATAAATATATTGCGTATGTCAACGTGTGTACATATATACAGTTGTTTTAAATGGTCCTAATCGTTACGAGTTCAATGAATACATGCATATTCAAATTACAAATACATTTATTCGTAAACCTTCGTCTAACATGAAAGTAATATACATTTACATTTAATAGCACAAACTTCATGAAATTGTACGTTAAAGATTCTCGTTATCAATTAAACACCAGGATGTTTTTTGATTACGTTAAAGGGAGACAACAATAATAAAAACACTATTTCTAATCTACAGAGTTATGCTCTTGAGATGATTTTTGTTTGATAATACATGTTTTTCAAAATGCATTTATATCTCATCATGCATTAAATCTTTATAAAGCCAAATTTGAGTACTTGAGAATATGGTTAGAGAATGATAAGCTGAAACTTATGCCAATTTGAGATTCGTTTTTCACAATATTACTTTTTTATATCAGACTACATTATCAACAGGTGGGTTTTGAAAATATGCATGTACATGTATTTGTAAAACAATCAAAAAGTCTTACTCTGACTCCAAGATAATTTTACACCGGGTCTAAAATTGTCATTCGGTTTAACTTATCATTAGCAACGGAACTTTTAATTTACCCCATGAGCATATTGTGAAAAATAGCCGTTTACCTGTTACAAGTACAAACTGCTATGAAACTGTGAAAAATGCTTCAATACAGATGAAACTTGGCACTAATGTTGACTAGACCATAGCCTCTGTAACAGCATGCTCAATCGTAAATTTCCTGTTACCATGGCAACGGGGGATGTCTCAAAACTGCACAAAATCACTATTTTGCATTGTTATTTACTATCAAATCTGATTTCAATATGCTGCAACTTCTCAATGAATTGAAATAGAGCTTTTTCAACAACATTTCTCAAACGAAAACAGTGTTTGGGGCCTAAATAAGACATTTTTCACTGTTTGAGGCCTCAAAAAAAGGGGGGGGGGCAAATAGCCGTCAAAACACGTCTATATAAGGGAAAAGGTTAAGAGCCCGACAAACCTGCACATCCTTAAGTTTGACCAGGCTCTAATACTCTCGGCTGGCTAACTTCAAATTTTCACCTTGTAATTCCAGAAATGATAATGGACGGTTTTAAAACATGAAAGTTCTAAGAAATTGAAGCTGCCCTCTCTATAGATTTAGCCGGTTGTAATAAGAAGGCTCTATGCGAAATACAAAATGTATTTTGTGCGTTTTCAGTTTAGTGAAATGATACTTACCGATAATCTGAACACTTATTTTCAATTCAGTAATCAATCAACTTACTTATCAATACTAATATGGACATTGATGATGGTATATAATAAGAATCATCTCCCTCTAGCTCCGTCAATTGTTAATGAAGTTAAAAAGGGTTGGTTCTATCGAATATCGACGAATCTGTATGTTGTCGTTGTTACTATTGGCCAAAGTTGGACTATATTTTTTCAAACACCTAATATAATAAGTTTTCGTTCAAGTATGTTAACTCTGGAAGTGTTTCAGTGAAATAGAACATTTTTTACTCATTTCTGCAAACAAAAGAAATCTTAAAAGTACGTGTTTCCGTTTCGAGATGTTCTTGTTTGTAGAATGAACTAATTTGTTGTTACAATGATAAAGTTAGTTGGAATATTAAACTAGAGCTACTCGTATAGTACTTTACAAACTCGCCGATGATTGGTGTTCTTGTTAGCCATTTAAAATATGAGGCCGGCACCTGTTCTTTTGACCTTATTAAAAATATGGATTTTGATTGACATGTATTAATTGATATAAAATAGATAGAAATTACTTTTGAAATTCGTCTGGTATTTATGATATTCATTCTCTGATGTCACTGTTCAGAACTGCGAATTATGTGTCCTCTAAAGACTTTGTATAGTCCGATATTTGGATCTTTTTTGGCGCTTTCGTGCAAGCCAAATGTAACACTAGTACTAGTATTTTATCCGCTCGATCATGTCAACAAACACTATTACCAAGCGTCACTTATGTTAATCTACAACATAACTGAGTATTTTATTTAATCGTCGCAAAACCACGGAGATTTTACTCTTTGAAAGCGGTTATATACTTACTTCTTGTTGTCTCAAACTGAATGAAGAACTTTAACATTTATATAAGATTAAAAATTACCAGTTAAATTAATATTTCATATACAAACCTCTTGAAACAAAATTGCAAAATGTCAACTCAAAAAGGTTAATAATCAAGTCAAATTTATTTTAAAGATTACATTTTTTTTTCAAATATAGAACAAACAAAACATGATTAAAATGTACATAAAGGATATTTCATCTTAGCAAGTTATTCAAGTAAAGTCATCATAAAAATCATGAAGTATAAATAGAAGTATATTTTTATAGAATATTACTATTTTAATTCTTAGTTTTACGCATTTTTAAGTGGAAAGCACAATGGATTATACTACATTATGAAAGCTACCATTTAACGGTAAGACAAAAAAACATCTCTTTATTAAAGTTCAGCTTAATTCACATTTTTATAAGATAAACAAACCATGCTTAGGATATACGCGCAAAAGCATACAAATTCAATTCGATTATAGTGCTGCAAATTCATAGGGTAAAATGACACCGAAGTGGTCTATGTCAGCCAACAGCAAGTTTTATATACCAAATTGTTCGTCTTGGTCTGTAGTTTCCGGAATGAATATTCATTTGGTTCAAGTCCGATGCGTAGCTTAAAAATCCAAGATGGCGTCAAAGATGGCCGCCAAATCCCTAAATATTCTAGAATATTAATATTTGCTCATATTTGTTTCCGCTTTTGTATTTCAAGTGAAATTTTTGCATGGAAGATATCATTTAAAGCGTTTTATACGAAGAGATTTAATTTTATTTGAGAAAACAGATTGCTTTTTGCTTTTTTATACGTAATCAAGCAAAATAATGCTAAACTTATGAGTTTTCGCTACGATACTCTTGTCTTAGCTTATACAGAGAAATATTTATCACTTATTTTGTTATTCCACTATTGTAATGTATTCATGAGAGTAATGCTTTAATGCATTCATATCATATCTTAAGAAATCTTTCTTTGTAATTATGCAGTAAGACATATAAAATGAGAGGCGGTACATTAAAATAGTTTTTCAATGTAAGGTTGTAACTGGTACTTATTTGTTCTATCAATTATTTCCCCAAATTTTGTGTTTCTGTCAAATTATAGCTTCTTTAGTGCAGTCCATGTAACTGATTAACATAATAAACCAGGAATATGACAATTTGCTTCTGGTTATTTAATGAATTATTGTTCAAATCGTACCCCACCCACTATGAATAAAAATCTAAAGAAACTCTGACCCCTCGATTATACTGATTATATGGAATGACAATATTTACGTAAGTTAATAAACATAAGGTGATTTTCAAAGTGTGATACTATTACAGGTATCCTGTCAGATCTAAAAATCTGTTCAAAAATGTGTGAGCAATTTAATAAGCATGATTTTGTTGTAAGTTCATCTAAGGATTTGAAAAGTTCAATATATGCAAAACAACCTCTGCTCATTTATTTATATGTTACAGACCTTTTTATGTCAAATGAAATGTAATTTATTTTTTAAAGTTTCTTAAATTGACTAAATAGTCATTTAAAAAGTTTGATATTTTATCTACATAGATCATTACTCTGTTGACTTTCGGTTTCATGAAACATGCATATTAGTCGGATAAAACATAATATTTATATGAAAATAGTAAAGCTTGGCTTTATAATTGTGTTTGTGTTATTTAAATTCCTTCTATTTGACCTTTTTCGAGTTGTGTGGTTCTAGTATTTCTTTTTAAATAGTGTATAATAACCCTTTGGATAAATAGTGTATAATAAGCCTTTGAATATGTTACCTGTTTTTAAAGATTATATTTTGACCTTTGATCCCGTTATATAAATCCATTTTATTTAGTTTCGCCCATTGTTCTCTATTTCATGTGGACAATGTGTTGTATGTCGTGAAATTGCACGAACATTTTACATTGAAGATACAATGAGACGTGTCTTCACTTCCTTTAAAAGTGTACCAGTTTATGTAAAATTGAGAATTCTGCTTAAGCCGGTGCTAGAGGGTGTGGATGGTAGGTAACTTGCAATTACCACTACCGGTATGTTCCTATATGACGACACAGTGTAAATAAAATAAATTCCCGCCAAGTAAAATTCTAACAATTGTTATGGTTACATTAGACGAAATAAGTAAAGTACATACATGATCGTGTAAATATGTACAATTAAGGTACAGCCTAATTACCATAACCAAAGTACTCGATGCCTTAAAGGAAGGCAGAGCAACAAGAACATCAATTACCAAGACAGAAGACGAAATTAAAACAATTAAGAACGCACAAAAAAAAACGAAAATGTTGCAGGTTCGGTTTGATTTAGCCTATTCAAGAACGGCACTGTCAAGTGCAAACTACAGTACACGCCCCCTAGCACCGAATTAAGCAGAAATCAACATTCAAATCATGGTTATGGTGAACTTTTGGATTAAGAAACAACCACAGACGCGCTTATAATGAGGTTATAATGGAACACGTTAGTGTCATTCCATAAAAAGCGGCGTATGGTCACCAAGTACAATAATGTGTGTGCCCTAAACAAGAAAACAATGAGCGGAACAAAATAGCATGGAACTTTGAAAGGGGATCAGAGGTTAAGAAGCCTGCATGCCAAAGATAAGCTGTCATCTCCACATAAATCAGGCCTGCTTATACCTAGACGTAAAAGAGTTTTTAAAGTACAATTAAATTTTAAATATATCTGAATTACCTCGACAGGACTTTGTAAAATATTTACGTAATTTATGATAGCGATAGCCTTGTTAAAGAAAATTGCCAGTAATGAATAAATTGCGTTCATTAGAATCATCCACACGACAGCAGGCCCAGGCAAATCTAATTAACTT